CCACCTCCCGCATCACCCCGCAGCCCCCAGAGGGGCGGCCGCAGCGGGTGCATCCATCTCCACTCCACAGCCTGGCGAGCCATGCCTCAGGGCACTCATGCCCCTGGCCACCCCCCACCTCCCGCAGCCCCTCCGGCCAGGGTGACCTGGCTCCTTTCAGAGCTGTGACAGCAGCACAGAGCCACGCTGCACCCACCTGAGTCCTGCCTGCATCCTCCAGTTAAACAAACGCATCAAAGTGCCCCTGGAGAGCCCTGCCTTGGCGAGCCGGGGCTGGCTGGTGCCCCACACATGGAGAAAGGGGACTCGGCCCAGGACTTGGCTCATCTCCCCCCCCTGCCCTTCAGCAACGACATGACTAGACAGACCCGCTTGCAAATCGCTTCCCGAGAGCTCACGCACACGCTGCTAACACCGGCAGCTACCCTGTAATAACCCACCATCCGTATCATTACCATTAATTATACATTAACATACCCCATAATCTTAACTGCTGTTAAGTCGCATCTCGGGGGGTGCAAACCGCTTTCAAAAGCCACCTGGCTGGTTCTCCTTTGGCTCTTACACCACCCACCCCAGGAGAGGGGCTGGTGGCCGAGGCAGGACTAGGATCAGGCAGGTGTTTGCGAGGATCAGGGCTGGAGTGACGGGGAAGGCACAGATCTCCCGGCCGCCTCGTGCTCCTGCACGAGAGCACCAAGCACATTACACAGGATCACCAAGCATTAAGTGGCTCAAGTGATTTTCCCTCTCCCAGCACTGGGTTTCATTCCTGTGGCACCAGGGAGCCTTGCCCAGCCGTAGCTGCCTGCGGGACCCTGACAGTGCTTTTGGTGTACATAACATTAGGCTGGACCCAGCTGCACAAGAGGTGACACCGGGAGCCCTCACCGGGGCTGGCGCAGAGGCTTGGCCACCTTGCTGTTCAGGCAGCACATGGGGAGAGCAGCTCATCCCAACCAGACCCTCAGATGCTAGAGGAATTCTCCAGATTCCTGCACCTTCCCCTTCCCCATGCCACCCGCAACCATCCCACCAGCTGGCAGCAAGACTCGCAGCATCCCTCACCTCGCGCTCCTTCCAGCCCCTGACCTCGCTGAAGGGCAGTGATTTTCTTCTTCCACCGAATCAGGGAAATTTGAAAGAGAAGCAACACAGGGCAGGTAACGAGTACCGCTTCTCGCCCGGGCAGCGCAGGGGCCTCCCAGGCTCATACCTCCGTGGCCTGCCGCTGCCCCAGCTCACTGCTGCCCAGCCAGCACACACAGCCCTTGCCCCACACCATGGGGTAGGGGGAGCTGCTGCTTCAAGGCCCTTGTCTGGAGCTACCTCCTAACAGCTGCGCGGATCCCACATCCAAGACAATCCCAGCATCAGTGGCATGGCTGGTACTGGGGATGGACTTTTGGGGTCTGGGCTCACAGAAGGGGCAGTTTTCCTTTCGATTCTTATAGGGGTAAAATGCCCACAGCATCCTCACCAAGATGCAAATTCAGGAGGAAAGCAAGGACCTTCCAGAGACGCAGCTTTCACCATTTTATCTTGAAGGCAGCACACCACCTTCCATTCACGATATAGCTCCAGCCAAAAATAAGCTGGAAAGAAGCCTGGGGCTGGCTCTACCCTGAAGCTGCAGCCGTTTCATGTGGCTCCAACGCCTCTTGCCCAGCAGCTCGCGCTTTCAAAGAACTGCTTGCATGCACACAGGCACACAAAACACAATTAATGAATGTCTCGCATCCCACTGTGTGTGTTCTGACACAGCCCCATTTGCCAAGGAAAAAAAAGCATGTGTGTGGATGTATGTATATACAAAGGCTTTAAAGAGGACGTTGCTTGCATTTTTACAGCTTTGTTGAAGGGTTTTGTTTTTGTTTGGTTTTTTTTTTTAATATAAAAGCCTAAAGCAAATATAATCCAGAAAAAGGGGAGTTTAAAATCTTTAATACTCTACCTGCATGCGTAACACCTGTAGAGCTCCGACACTCCCCAAGCAACATGTTTTATAGTAACTGTTTCAGACTGAAAAAAGGCAACTGCTCAGGAAAACATTGCTACTGGCTAGTATTACATGAGTATTCTTTCACAACGGGAGAGGATTAAACCTGTCAGGGAAGTCTATCACAGGATCAACATGGCAGCTTTACAAGCTTCAACTCTCAGGTGTTCCCCAGTTGTAATAAGCTGCCTGCACAGTGAAACCCTCTTGGGGTAAACTGGGCACAGCAGGAACCCACCCACCTTCACCCAGTCACAGAGCTGTGCGAGACAAACCCTCATGCTGTATGCTAGGATTCAGTTTATTACGGAATAATGACAATGAAGTTTTATTTCTTTCCTGTGAGTAAAACAAACAGGGAATCTAACACTCCAACTGCAGTGCCATGTCTAAGCCTGTCAATGAACACAAATGCTCACTGCCAGTTTCAGCTAAGCAAACAGCCATCTTTCAGGACAGTAGTTCTCACCTTGACAAGGCAAGTTTTAGTCCTCTGAGGTGGGCTTCTGCTTACATTTTGTTGCCTGCAAGACTGCCTGGCATATATCTTCACTCGGTGGCTTAAAACAACCTGAGTTAGCAAGCCCGCTGCATGCCAGTCACTTAAAAAGAAATTATTTTATTTCTAAACAACAGAGATTTGGGGCCTATGGAAATTCTCAGTAGGAATTGGACATCCAACTGTCCTTCTCAAATCCAAGAGCTAATATCAGCAGATTTTGAATGATATATTAAAACTCACGATTCACCTGTTGCCATAACAAGACCTTCCTAGGCCAGGTACATGGATCATAACAAGACCTTTGTAAGAAGCAAAGTGCATCACATCTTCCAGCTCTCAGATTTTTATATTTTTCCTTGAATTATCAAGTCATTGCCAGCATCAGAGACAAGACACTTGCTCGGAAAGCCCAAGCAACTGTGTCAACTCTTCAACCCCTCTAAAGCATCCCCTGTGTTTTAACTGTGTATAAACCCTTCCACTCCTTTGGACTAAGCCTGTAGTGGACTCTTTTGAGCAGTTGTTATCCATATTAAAAACCCACTGCAATGCATTTGCATACATCTAGGAAAGGAGAAAATATAATCACTTTATTTTCAGTATACAGACTAAATTCCACCATAAAATAAAGATAATGAGTGAGCACACATGAATAAAATACTCTGTACTTTAAAAAAGCCCACTCTTGCCATGTCTGCTGAACCCATCATTTGCCACGTGGTGCTCCCAGCTCTCCAGAGTTGTTTCCAAGAGTGGCTGCAGTACTCCCAGGAGCAGTGCTCCATCTACTACAATTCAAAAAAAAGCTCCCAGTCTGCATAGGTGTGCTACATTTTCCTGTATGCCTTGAAATACTAGTTAGGTACAACACTATTTAATCATCTCTGCTTCCAAACTATGTCAGGTCCCCCTCCCATCCTTACACCAAAGCAAGAAGAATTACTTCTACAAGGAGGCAGAATCAGCAAGTTGTAGCAATACAAACTCTTCAGAGGTGCAGAACAATGGTATACCATGATCTGCAGCACATGAATATGCAGCATGGACAGCAAGACATAAATACTGATGAGTTGTACACATGCGCATGCACACAGTCACCTCCGTAAAGCTTTCTCCACGGTGCAACTCCTTCAATGTCACAGGCTTGTCACAGGAGAAAAAAAAAAAAAGCCCTTTTCAAATTTAGCCCATTTAAAGCTGCCAACAAAATTTGATTTCATGGGCTATCAATGGGCATGTTATTGCTTGTAGTAAATTGTAGAAGATTTGGACCTACACAAGAGATTCACTTGCAAAGCACAAAGGTCATCAGTGGCCCCTAAGCAGTTTTACAAACTGATTGTGGCTGCTCATGCTTTCCACACCCTCCACCAACGGCTGGCTACAATGCTCTGCAGTTCTAAACATGTGTCGTACCATCCCCTAGAGAACACAGTCGGTGTCTTCTCTGACTCATATTTAAATACACAAGAGCAGTCAGCATAAAGAAGTGTTACAGTTCATTTTACAAAATCCATCACGTCCCTCTTCACTCGTTCACCTGAAAAACGGGTGACCTGGGCTGTAATGGCAAAGGCCAGCAGTGCCTAATCCTCTCAACACCCAAATGTCAACAGAAGAGGAACTGACAGTATTGCAGAGATATTCTACATGCCCAGTGGAGCAGACACATTCTCACTGGACTTTCAGGCTGCCAATGACCTACCTCATCCATGGCGAACCTGACAAAAGCCTTTAAGAATCCAGTTTTCACATCTTGCACCTCTAATTGAATGTAAAGTTTACAATTAAGTGTCTTCAAGGAGTAATAAAGCAGCTCTTGGGATTTCTTCCAAGCAAACACTGACTCAAAGGCTCAATACAAACTCACAGTGTTAAATGGGAACACTAGCCCATTCTGGACCCCCAGTCAGACACTGACAACAACTCCCTAGATCTTCTTTTAAAGTTACATGCTGCACAATCACTTTCTTTGCTAATGCATCCTTACTATAAACTTGTTTTACAGCCTCTCTTGCTAACTATACTCTTCAACTCAGTGCTGACTGCAAATGCTGTCCTTAACTTAGCAAGTATCATAAAATTGATAGATTATTTCCTGCCTACTGGTGCTCCAGATGCAATGCTACCTAGAAAAACATACAACTAATTCTTCCAGCAGGTGATCCAAACCAGCTCTGTTCTCAAACAGCAGATTGGTGAAGGTGGGCTGCAGATTGCAAAGTCTCCAAGCTTTCCATACGATGAAGTGAGGTAGCAACAAGCAGCCTTTGAAATAGCATTGTCTCCGTATTTTTCCATAGTATTAAATCCCTTTTCCACACAATTTAGTGAGTGAACTAGAGGCTTCTCTGGAGCAGTGGAAGAAGAAAAGAGATGGTAAATAAATAATGAATGATAAGAGTAACTAGGCTAATAGTTTTGCAAAGTTTTCCTTTTTGGTACCAGCACTGAGCACTGCTCGTTTTCAGGCGGAGAGAAATACAAAACACTTCAGTCTGTGAGCTTAAAGTCCAAGTGACTTCTGCACAATCTGCTTGGCAATTTTGTTAAATTGTTCTCTGTCTTCTCGCCACATCTTCGAGGCGTCTACATTGGCTCCACTTTCATCATTTGGCTCTGAAACGAGAAAGACTGAAAGATAGGTAGGCAGGCAGGCAACGGAGCAAGACCCTCTCGCTTTTTCAATAATGCTTCAGCACTGCCACTTCCCTGTGGCTTTGGCACACTCCTCCTGCTTGGGACTACAGAAACACCACTAAAGAAAATCCAATGACAGTTGCTGGGTTCCCAAATGGTTCTGATTTAACTGATCACAAGAGAATATCACAGCAAGGTTGAGTTTAGGTAAGAAAAAAAAAGGCAGAGGAGCAAGACTCTCTTTTGTTTATGCTCTCAGCAGTTGAGCCCCAGCATGCACATGGAACACCACAACACGGCACCACCAGTGTCATCAAGCGTTTTTAAAACTGCACACTGCTCCCTGCAAAATGTTTTTTCTGGTTCTGCGGCTTCACAGACACAAAGCCCTCTCGACCAGGCCACCCAAACAGGCTCTGTCACTCTTTAGGATGGCTTGTCCTATTAAAAAACAACAAAACAAACCAAGAAAACCCATAGAATGCTTTCATTTCTACAACATCTTTTATCCGAGGATTTCAGAGCGCTTTACAAAGTACATTAAGCCCCTGTGACTCCAACACTTCATTTTGTACAGAGGTAAGCTGAAACACAGGGTTTGTCAGGTTTGTGGTCAGCATACAACAGGACAACTGTCACAGGATTACACAAGCCACTAAGACAGAACATACTCTACCCATTTTGCTTCACACACTAGTCCAAATCCACCCCAGCCCCATTCATGGCAGATATCTTGGGCTCACGTCTTTCTCAACACAATGCTGATCGTCTGCCCTTAAAAGCCAGTAGACACCCAGGTCACCCAGTTTGGTAAGCTTGGGCTTACCCTATCTGCAGAACCAGAGCCAAGAGTTTGCCAGCAGCCTGAAAGAAGCTGACCATTGATGTTTTAGACTAATTCCACCAGAAGCTGTGGGAAAACGGGATGCACAGGCAGAGAATAAGAGAGACCAGGTGACTCCCACACTAACCAGTCTAGGTAAGGCTGCACCACAAACCAAGTTCTTGGAGGCCACAGGAAGCCCAGCAAGGTACTGTTTGTCTGCACAGCTTCCCAACGGTAGGTTACTATTCTGAAGCTAAAACGGTCCTATGTAAAAATCTCTTGCTTGCTCTTTGATCAACTTTGCTGCTTCTAAACCCTCTAAACCTTCTAAAATCTTTTATCATTCAAAACGATTCTAAGGGACACAGCTCTGCCCTTTTTGGGCAGTTCAGTGGCTCTGTCCGCTGTGTGGTAAAAAATCTGACTTTCAGGGAGCTGTACACAACAGAGTTGATCCACAGCCCTTGCTAGATTTAGGGAAAGCCATTTAAAAGGCTGCACAAAAAGTTTTTTCACTCCATTCCTCAAGAAACCATCCCCTGAACCAGAGGTGGCAGAATGGGGTACATGCCCAGGCTGGCAAAAACCAAACAGAAATGGAGGGTGCTGGCTTGTCAATCACAGAGGCCACAGACTCCAGTTTACTGTACTGGTTAGATCTGGCTGGTAACCCTTCAGCTGCTAAAGCCAAATCCAACACAAGCTGTATCCATAGCTTTAAGACCTGCAAGATCTAAACAGGCATCACAGCAAATACAAAGACAGAGCACAGGTTATATGCAGGAGCAGGGAACCAGCTGAGCCTCCAGACCCACCTGCCCATCACCATCTCCTCGGTTGCTGCTGACCTTGAAGGAAAGCAGTGCAGTTGCTGGCAAAGCTGGAAACACCTGTTCAGTTATACTTTTTCAATTGTTTTCAGAGAACTGGTTTATTAATAAATAAATACTAGGGCTTTAACAACTGTGATTGCTGCTGAGCAGCTTTACATGTCCTTTGCTCACTTAACAAATCAAACAGCAAGAAGCAGTTACTGAGTTAGCTAGAGCAGCTGTCTGAGCTACTGCTAACAAAACAGCAGTCCTTACCTGCCAGCATGCTAACAACCGACAAGAGGATCTTTTCCACACTCTGCACAGGACTCCACCGCTCAGCGCTGCTCTCATATCCCATGGGATCATCCCCAGGAGCATGAAGAATAGAGATGCAAACTCTCCCATCTGGGTAAACTGCACAAGAAGTACAGGGGATTGATTGTTATTCAGTGGAAACACTTGGCCTCTCTGGATCTTTAGCACAGATAAATGTTTGGACACGGCCTTTGTATGACTGAAGCTAAACCCAGTTTTAAATTTCCTCTTCCAAAGGCAAGCGGACACAAAAATCTGAAAGACAAAAATCTAGCAACAGTTTTCTTTAAGCAAATCTAACAAACTTGGGTCATCCTTCCCTAACAGAAGCCTGCTGGGAGCACTCCTGTCATTTAATAACCAGTGACAGGCTCCACAGAAAAAGGAAGAGATGCAGCCTAGTGGAACAAGGCAAGTATTTACGCACAGACGTGGCTCCAAGTAGGTAACCAGTCCTACTTAAATTGAAGGGTAACAATCACACAGAACTGAATGCATGTTGGAGTCCTTCACTGGACCGTGACTGTAAAAAGAATTAAGCAAACTTGCTTTGCTGCAGCAAGGAGGGAAAAGTGGTATGTTATAAACAATATAATTGATCTTATTTTGAACATTACTGAGGTGCAACCAGAAGAGTTCACACTACTTTTTAAAATTTTGCTTAAAGCTCTGCTGCATTAAAGTGCATGGAAACAAGGTAACCTGTCAATTAAGGATACAGACATCTTCCGGTCCCACCTGTAGCATAAGCAAAGCTTGTGCAACAGTACAAGTCGTCTGCACAGATGCGGGACTCCACTGACTTGATAATGAGGCCTAAGAAAGGTTGAAGAGGCAACACAAAGAGAACGGAGTTCAAAATACTGCTTTAGCAGCATGGCCTAATTCTGCAGCCTCCCAAGGCATGACAACTTTATCTCAGTACTTCCAGTGCTTCTATTCCTCGGGTGTCCAAACCTGTGCCATTGCCAGGCGAACAAGACAAAACAAAAAGAGGGAATGACCGCTGGAAGCAGTTGTGCTCATTTCCAGTTCCTTCCATTCACCCAGCTAATGTCTGCACAAGCCTGCAACATGTAAGCACTTTGGAAGACTTTTATTTGCATCCCCTCCTGCAGCCCCAGGCTGGGGACTGGAGCTGGTCTAGCTGTAGCTGGAAGAGATGAAAACAGCACGTGCTCAATCAGCACTTCTCCTTACAAGTTCGGAACACACTGGCAGAAGGTATTTCACTTGTAATTTACTACAATGTTTTTATGTAGTGCCTCATTTAAAACAGCTGGACCACAGCGGCACAGTCATGATAGCAGAGACTGATTCCAGGAAGATGTACCCATCTTCCCACTTTGTCACTAAGTGCTAACACAAGACTTGCCATTAATTGCTACTTTGAAGTTATCTTCACCAGAGCATCCACGAACACAGTTTTATTTTAAGAGAATATAGTTCTGTGGTATCTCAATTCCTCCTGTACATAACATAAACTGCAAAGATAAGGGGAACACAGCAGACTTTTTAAAGATTTTCCTTGCAACTCCTCACAGGTGGAGGAGTAAGCACTTAAGGAACAGAAAAAGCACAGCACAGCCACCCATTTCTACAGCCTTTCTGGGTATAACCAAACCATCACAATCTTACCCGAGAAGAAAGATCGAAGTATCTACTTTAGGTGATCTCAACTTTAGATTAACATGACCCAGAGTCATGGGACTTCAAAGAGCTAAGCTGACCATCCAGTATGCTTCAGTTAACCCCATGGGGGGAGCGCCCACATGTAGAGCCACGCTGTAACACATAAGAGTCAGGCAGTTCGTGCTTCTCGGCACCCCACTCCTCCTGGCTATGCTGCCCACAAAGCAGCTGTGAGCAGTGAACCTCAAGCCAAGGCCACAACTGCAGCTGCAGAGTATTGCCTGGACACAGATTTGCCCACAGAGACCAGTTCTGCCAAGAAGTTTGGGTGAAATAGTCCAGTTGGAGCAAGGTGTCAATGCGGCCGCACTGCTTCCAGGTGCCAAACGCTGCACTGCTGCAGACATCAGAGGTGATGCTACACTGCCTTGGGCACATCCGCACAGTTCTATGCTGTGACATGCAGGTGTGTCTTCCACAGGAGAACAGGAAGATGTGGATTAAATGGGCAAGAATCCGCAGCAGTGGTGCTTCGAGAAGGAAAGAAGAACTTCAAGAAATTGCAGAATTCCTTGGAATAGGATGAAATAAATCGATTCCCAGCTGACATTAAGATCTGCGTTATGCAAGTGCAGGAATGTCAGCTGGGAAGGAAACACTAGGCAGGAGGGCAGCATTTTCGTTTTACTGCTCTCAAGTGGCAGAGAGCTAACAGCCTAGAATACAGATCCAGCCCATCAAATCTGGGTGATGATAAACAATCTTTATGCAATCCATGTTGATTTAGCAGATGTCATAAGCAACAATTTTACAAAGAATGCCAAGGCTGACTCCAGAAAGCAGTGCTCCAGGCTGTAAAAGGGGGCTTTAAGGTTTTTACCTGTCCAAGGCTCAAACTTGTTAGCTGTACTTGTTACTTCAATTACTTCCACTGAAAAGTCTTAAGATAATATTGTCACCATCAGAATTGCAGAGAAAAGGCCAGCAAAGTCTTAATATTAAATGCCTGCAAACGTATCATCTACTTGGACGGAGTACTGTGTAATTCAGAAAGATCACATCAGAAATGTCACTAAACTTGTGACTTAATGGGGAAAAAGCCATGCTGCCTGATGAAGCTGCACCCACACTTTGGTGAACATGAACAAATTTTCTCTCATTACAGTAACATCAAACTACTTAAATACAAGCCACAGAGCAAGACTGGAAAGAGTCTGTATTAATTCACTAAATCTCGCATCATGTATAGAAGATCTATCTTTGGACTATTTAGACAATAGTTACAATATTCCTGGAATGATCTTAAAGACAGTGAAATTGTTGGAATCTTTATTGGACTGTTTATGACCAAAAGATATATGAAGAATAATGTGATAAAGTGACAGAGCAAAATTGCTGGACAGCTGAACATTCCTACTGCATACTCAAGGTTGGAAACAGAGAGAACCACCCCTTGGGAAGGATGCCAGCTCTCCTGCTGCAGAAGTCTGTTTTTAAGGTGCACAAGCAACCCACTCCCCCATATGTCCTGCTGCATCAGACTCACTGTTCGGATGGAACATCTCGCACGTGAACCTCATCTTCGGAGGACTTAACGGGTAGTCGAGTGGAAAGCTCAGAATAGCAGGGAAAACCCCATACTCGAAACAGGTGTCTTCAGGACCCCTAGAAACAGATAAAAAGCTATTCACCAGAGTTTTAAATAGTTCTTTCACCCAAAAGACATTTTAGGAGGTTTGGGTTATATCATCTTCTCCAGAAAACAAAGAGTTAATGCACTCTTAGCCTACACCTCATAAACTTAAATCCAAATATGGGGTTTGGGAGGGAAGGGGGAAATCAAAGCTTGCACACTAAATTACTAGGAAGGTCACAACACTGCTTAATTAGCAGGGTGTGTCTGCATATAATTGGAGTATCTGGCTCCAAGGCATGTTCCAGGATTTGAGCATCTGCACGTCAAGAGAAAGCAGAGGCAGGTGTGGGACTCCTGTGCCTTTGAAGATACTGTTATGCTGCACAAGACAGAGATGTCAAATGCTGTAGCTCAAAAGTAATTTATAAAACCTCGGAGATTCAAACTGCCAGTATTGAGCATAACCACAAATAAACACTCAGCACTATCTGATGCAAAAAATACAGCAATGTTTTGTAAAAATAAAAACACAGCTCAGGGACCATAATTGCTAGATGCAGGACAACAATGTTTCTTTGCAGACTTAAGGTATTTAGTTTGCACTCCCTCAAGTGCACCAGGAGAACAAATGGCTGCATCAGGGTTCTTGTAGAAACATTTCCTTATTGTGCTCATCATCTAGTTCAAAGTGCAATCAAGTTATGAATATAGACAACTATTTTACTCTCCCTACGTAAAACATTTTTGGAAGGTGAGCAAAAAAGTTTATTAGGCATGATGTATTCGAACTTGAGGAACCATCTGGAAGCTATAACACAAACATGATCTCCCTTGATTAGAAAGATCATGAAACAAGCTTCATCACTGAAAGTCTTAGCCAAGGAAACCTCATGTATTTAGTAAAAAGCTCTTCAAACAAGGGTTACGCTGTCTGGGAAATAAGGTTTAGGAAAATATTCATGCTTCCTCCTTCCAATCCACATTCTCCATGCCAGAAAGAACATAAAAGTTCAAGGACTCCTAACAGTTAAGGCTGCAAGTGGTAATCTACAGAAAAAGAAAATTGAGACCAGCAAAACCTAAAGCCCTAGGAGGCTCACTCTCTTCAACTTTGGGATTCAAAAGACTTGGCTGCTAGATAAACACACGAACTATGTGATTTAAACCTGAATATTCGACACTAGCAGGTTAGATTAAAGAAATGCATCAACATACTGCAAGAATGAAAGCTAAACCATCTCAACCATTTTGTTCCCTTTCTGGCCTTTTCCCTAAATTTAGTCAGGATTCAATTCACATCTGAGAGTACTGAATGCATTTTTTCATGAACACTTTAATTCGAGCTGCATTTTAAAGGCTTATTGTTGAACTTCTAAGAGTATGTACATACACGCATTGAAAAGCTGGTGGGTGTCTTATGTTCTGTTTTGAGAGCAAACACACAGCCTTAAGGGCTCTTCTGTCAAATATGTTAACCCAACATGCTCCATTTCAGGGCCTGTATTATGTGAGCAAAATGCTTTTCTTTTAGCCACTCATTGCTGCCAGGATCAACTTCAAAGAAATTATTAAAGTTAATCCAAGACAGCATTTGCAACTACAAAACGCTCAGGAGGCCGCAACGTTTAAACTTGACAGCATCGCTTTCAGTTCAAAAAGGACATTGGCAGGGCCAGAGAGGTAAAGAGCACAGCACCTCTTGAAACCTTTGCAGAGCAGGTGGTGTGATTGCAAAGTACACCACATTCAAAGCCTCCATGCCTTATGCTATGATCTCGTCTGAGCTGCTATGCCAGTCGAAGTCCAGACTACCCAGTACTCGATTAGGGTTCCTCCAAGAAACACCCAGACCATGCAGTGGTGACACCCGTCCCACTGAGCACAGAGCACTGAGCCAACAGGCCAGTTGCCTTCAGCAGTTCCCACACCCCAGGGAAGACAAAGCACTGGCCACTGCTAACTGCATGCACACAAAAGGCACTCATTCTGCACAGGCTCGAGGCATGTAACTCTAAGAAAAACCTTGTCTTAAACCTGTTCCATCTAAGACTCTTTACAGCCTGCAAAGCAGGCAGTCTCTGCATCTTTTTCCATACCCGATGCTACTCTACAGACTTCCCTAAAGCATTGAGGAGCAGACGTCAGTTCTCCTCCGGCCATTGTATGGCATTAAATGATTTGCTAGACAACCAGACTGCTTAGTTGTGAGAGAGATGTAATGAACAACTCTGTTGAATGAAAATAAGAAACTCTTAACTCCATGAGCTGGCTATTACTTAGGCAAGGGCAAGAAAAGGATGGCGGGTATCTGCCAAAATAAGAGGGAAAAGCACACTGACAAGGACAATTAATACTATAATCATAGCTTCACATACATTTGTAAATGGCTTCTTATTTGTAAAAAGATGCTGGAAGAAGACCAAAACCCACAGTCATCAGATGCTGTCAAGGGGAATTCCATGCTAAACAAAAGTCATAAGCCTAATTATAGATCTAATTACCTTTCTAGACAGGTTTTTGGTAAGTTGACTTCAATTTATACTGTTTAGTTTTCAAGCAATCTTTAGTTCTCAACAATTATGTGGTTTTGCATCTTTTGGGGATAAACTTTAAAAGCAACACACACTTGCATATGCCAACCAAAGAGGGCAAAACTTGGTCTCGAAACATTCAATTCATGAACTTGCACAACACAATGTAGCCTGTAGGACCTCACGCAGCGCTAAGAAATCAAGCGGCATTATGGTAAACTCTCTTGACATGCTGGGGCTATTTATCACCACAAATAAGTCACCCTGTTGCAAAGATTTGGCTTTCATAAATACTCTAATTCAGCTACTGTTTCATGTCTCATCAAAAGGGTGCATTTTACCATCAGGCTCCAAACCTCCACCATTCAGAAAGACCACCACATTTTATTTTCAGTTGTGGATCTATTACACTCACTTTGGGAGCATAAGAACTGTTCTGTCATTCAGACATGTGAATACAGCCTTAACATTTATATGTTTAACATTTATCCAGCACTGCTGCTGCAGGCAAGAACACTGGAAATACAAATTATTACCACCATTATTTTAAAAGGCATTATTTTATCTCTGAGAGAAGCTCTTACACCAATCTGTGTAACATTACCTAGCCCACTTCTGAATTGATAAACAGGCAATGTCTTTTCTCTCTAAGGTCTCTTTTTTTTTTTATTTATTTGCCATTACATGTGCTCTAGCTTTATATAAATTGGGTGAAGGGAAAAAAAAGTATTCTATTCTGTTCTTCATTATTGTGCTACTTACTTACCTTTTACACTTCATCTGTCTAAAAATGTTATGCCAACTGTAATTTCCTCATCTGCACTTCTTTCATTCCCATAATCTCACACAGCACATTTGAGATTACAAAACATTCAAGAAGATTATCACAGACAAATATAAACAAGTCATTTAGTTTGCTTTCCAAATGTACGCAAATACTTCTACTAATAAGAGTTTTGCAAAGAGATGAAAGTAACCAAACATGTTTAGGGTAAATATGTTTCTATTGTACCACAGCTTCAGAATTTAGCAGACCTTAAAATATAATTTTATTATGACACACACACAATACAGAAACCAAAATTAAAGCACCTCCACCCCTCATTTTGCGCTGACAAAGACCTGAAGCTCAACACTCAGCACTTTCAATGGCTTTCAAGTCTGCAAGCGGCTTCTCTGTTGTTTAAGAATTTGTCATGGGAAACATCAGAAAAAGTATTTTCTAGGTAATGAACCAAATCCAAAAGTACTTCTGTGTCCCCCCCATGAAAGCTCTACTCAACCACAAAACCTCTGCTACAAGAAAGTACCAATAGGCAGGAATTTCCTTCCAGATTCCAAGAAGTGCATTAAATCCTCTCGGATTTGCATACTCCAAGCAACACACAGCTGTCTGAACTGAAATTTGGTACATTACAAAGCGCGTGTTTCAGAAAAGTGATAACTATCCCACTTGCAGAAAGAGAAAGTGTAAGACACTGCAGCCAAAATCTTTGGTGTCAGGCAACAAACCACCTATTTCCATGCTAAGTGTTTAATTTCAGGAGACTGAGCTACCAGGAAGTATCACCTATTTATCACAGGATAAATTGCTGCACATAAGCAGAGGCATTTGCCAACTCTTCATATCAATCAGCAAACAAGCAGTGGTAATCCTAATCTCCATTTACCAAGGCCTAAAATAACTCGGAGGCTCACGCTTGCCATAAAATAGGATCACCCACGCAGCTAGCTTGTGTGGAATAGGTGATGTGCTACAGGTTGGTACGCTTTTGTATTGGTTGCATGCCTGATCCCAAGAAATCTTGTTTTTCATCCCTAGACAATACACTCCAAGCAAACTGAGCTAGGAAAATTCTGCCACCCATGCTCGTTGAGAATCTCCTAAGTCAGCACTAGTGGCTGCAGTGAAAACCTGCCAAGAACACAGCAGGCACACTGTGAGCGGGGCCACAGCCACCGCCTGCTGCCCCCAGCATCCTCTGGGACCCCCTGGACCTGGCTGAAGGAAAGGAAATCACCAGCTCTTACTAAAGGAATCTTGAAATACAGAGCCTGGACCTACCCTAACAACAGACCATCGGCTTCAAGACAAACTTAGCCATTTGGAGCTTCTTCATCTTTTCATTCTGTAGTATTTGCGTAAATTGTCAGACCTGAGTGACAGAGGTCTCTCTTCCTCTCTCCTGCCATTTTAGAACTTTGTTTTGTAAAACTCACCAGTTATTCCATGCACTCAGAGTTCCCAAAGAAGGGCACAGCATGAGTAAAAGAGTACAAGCAAGAGAGAAGACAACTTTTAAGATGCTGGGCAAGAAGATTTTGTCTTTTCATGGCAAGTTTTTCTATGAACAACTGGACGTATCAGTTCAGGAGTGGAAGGAGGAGGACACAGCTTTGTAAAGAAGTCTTTGTCACCCCCCAAAACGCAACAGGTAGTGATCAGAGCTATTCACCAATAGAGGAGCTTTCTACACGGAACCACTGCACCCAACATCTTTACACCAGCAGCTGATTCATGAAGTGTAAAGAATTTCACAAGAATTTTTTTTTTAAATTTGAATACTTTCTCAGATCAATCCCCTTCCATTTTCCTAGAAAAAAATTGAATAGTTAGTAAACTAATTTTAGACATTAATTTTTTTATTCTGTCACTGATAATCTGTGTATTTTGCTCCACTTAAAACATGAGAAAAACCTGTCCTATATTTGCAGTTGAGTAAAGTTCTCAACAGGTTTGTGTGATCTACAAGCAATTAATTGTTTCCTACAGCGTTTGTATATGCAACATATATCCAAGGGAGCCCAAATGAGTATTCCTGTCAAATTTGCACGTTACTTATGCTGAATGTTGCTTACTATAATGACACCTGTACAACAAATATCACTTAAGTCCCAATGCTGCCTCTATCACACTGTTTAAATTCCAAATATAATTCCCAGTTTGGGTCAGAAAAGAAGCTCCCAGTCAAAGGTAGGCCAAGGTCGATGTTACGCAGAACTGATATATTTTTTGCATTCTTGTTCTCCTAGAATCTAATCATAGTGTGCAGATACAAACCAGTATCAACTTACATAATCAGAGCTTCCCACTCAAAGAAGTTCTCTTCATTCATGGGACCTATTAAGAAAAAAACAAAATAACACTTAGCGCTACCTGAAAGCAAGGCAACAACTTCACAGTGCACAAATCCTACTTAACTCCTCACCTGCTACGATCCCTTCCGGCGGGTTCAGGGTCAGCTCTATAAAAACAAAAACACAAGAAAGGTTAACATGACCTACAAGCCCGAGCATTTTGGCTACCATTTGGATGGCCACAGCTTAGCACAGAGGCCCCGCCAGCAAATACCCTGGGGGAAAAGCTTGAGGACACCATGGGAGAAATGTTCTGGCCATGCTTTACTGCACAAGACTCTGCATCCAGAATGCCCAGTATCTCACTGCTGACAATTTAACTTCTTCATGCAAGAGAGTTTTGTAGCCAACATTATTTGCTGTTTTGTGATTTTTCAGGCTCCCAGAACTAGTCTTCCCAGGGGCAACAATTTAAAACTGAGAAGGAAGGAAAAAACCTCTTTCCACAAAGCATGAGGAACACTCTCCTCTTTGAGCACTGTGGTATCTGCAGGTACAAACTCAACAGCCTGAAAAGAAAATGGATTGTATTCCCATAACCCCTGTGCACCAATTCAGACTTGGCAGCATCACAATACAAACCCCAAAACAACGCAAAAAGTTGGAGAAGCAGAAGCAAGAGAGACTTGACAAGCGGCTCTGTTCCTTGAATTTAATTCGACTCTCCCCGCGTGGCCTGGAAAATGTGAGTAAAAAAAGAAGCAGCAATAAAGCAGCCATGGCTGCACAAGGCAAGTTTGGATTTATCACCCCTCACTTTCTGTAGGAAACCGGTACAATTCCCAATTCATACAATAACCTCCAGCAGCAATACCTCATTTCCAGCCTGCTGAAGCCCAGCACTCTGTGCACTGATAAAATAATAACCAGTTTTTCTACTATCTAGTGCAATGACCATCAACTTCCAGTTTCTGAAGTCCTGCAGGGTGGCAGCAGCTGGTGAGGCAAAGTCCAGCTGCGCACAGGCAACCAGTGGACCTGCAGTCCCTGGGGGGCTGAACACCAGCCCCACAGCTCCAAGTGAGACGTGGGGCAGCCAGCAGGACTGGTGGCAGGAGGCAACGCTCCAAGGGTGTCAGACCGGAGGAGGTGACAGGATGAGGCCAACTTAAGTAAGGCCTGTGAGCTGCTTACCTAGAACAGTGTTTCCTAACCAATGGCCTGTGGACTGCTAGTGGCCCATAACACAGAAAAAGTGGCCACAGGAAGCGCTATGCACTTTCCCACGCATGAAAACAAGCAGGAATATGGAAAGTCACAAACTGATAAACGAGACACCTGACCTAATTTCTGTTAGGCTATACGTGAAAACTGTGGGTAGCGCTGCACAAAACAGCACAAGGATTTTTGTCTTAAAACAGCTAAGTTACTGTTGGATTCAAAAATGTACTGAGATACACCAACAGGAAAGATAGTGAAACTCTTCTGTTCACTCACATTGCCATTAACTTTGGCAAAGACCTCTCCAATTGAAGTTCAAAAGCACAGCAGCAGATTGAAACTCAGCGTTACGGTTTCCCACAAAGTCCTGATGTTAAGGAGCAGGTTTTTCCAGCTTGATAGTGGGTCTCTAACAGCTTTTCTTGTTGATGTTTTTAGACAGAAAGAGGGAGATGTCAAACCCAGCAGCTCCTGGAATAATTTTGCTCCATCTTGTGGCTCTCTCTAAGAAGAAAATCCCTCTGGTATTTCCCACAATTTCCCTTGAAAAGCCCAGCAGCTTTCGCAGCTGCCCAGTGGCAGCATCTGCATGTCCCCTGCAGCGGGCAGCCATGCAGAGGTGTGCCGTACAGCTCTCCACCCCCAAGGAAAACTGGGGCGATGGGAAGCAAGAGCCAAACCCTGCCAAGCAAAGGCCTTCACAAGGATGGAGGTTTAATTCTCTACTTCACCTTGCTCAGCTCTCCCCTTGGAGATAGGCAAAAGAGGTTTCCATCCTTAAGGATCAGGCAAAGCGGTAACTGGGCAGTGCAGGGGCACATGAGCTTTGATTTTGAGTGGCTGCTACTATGCCTGGTCATTGAGGAAGGAAAAAACCCTTTTCCACATGGATGGTCACATTCTACCCTGTGATTTTTTCTAGAGCCGTTCAAAGGGAAATTGGAAGCACAGCTTTCGGGAGCTACACAGCACGAACTGCCAGTAGCTGACACAGCATCAGCGGCTTCACTCTTACCAGAGCCTCCAAAATAGGGTCACTTTAATGGAATGTCAGGGGGAATATTTTCCAATTATTTTTAAGTAAGCAGCAAAAAAAACACGCGATCAGAGCATTTGTTTTAAACTTTCACAAGTCAGCTCGGCCAAATAGTCTCCTACCCCACTCTCCTCTGCCACCCTGTCCCTCTGTGGCTGTCCTCCCAGACAAGTCGCGTGGCACAACAGGAGCACATCAGCAGATGAAACAGCCCACCCTCTGCTCTCCACGGCATCCGGCCCGGAGTAACTTCTGGCTAGCCCAAGTTTGGCCTCCTGGCCTGCAAGACAACCCCCCCACTGCCCCGCATGCATGGTTTAAAGCTTTCCCAAGGAAAGCTCTTCCCCTCTGCAAGTACCACGCCATGCTGCCCTCTCACCGTCCACCCACGACAGCAGCATGCCAGCGCATACCCACACCCCAGGCACCGTCACCCGACGGCCTCAAACTCTGACATGCAGTTTCTGTTCCTGCATGCGCTATTTCCCAGCGACAGCAAGGAGCTGAACCCTCCGCCTGTGCTGAGCATGGACAGCATCCAACACAAGGCATTGACAGGGGAAACGCGGATCCTGAAGCTACACCAGCCACCACCTTCCTGTGCTGGTATTTTACATGGTGCTATCTATCAGAGGTGCCACCACCAGGAGCTGTGGGATAAAGCAGCCTCCCGATATGCAGGGAGTACCCTACCGCCAGGCAAGCCTTCACAGTTCCTACAGAGAAAACACACAAGCAGCAACATCCTATTAAGGGATTCCAAGAGACGGAAGGACAAGCAGTCAATGTGGAAAAAAGGATAAAACAGAAAGCCAGAAAAGGAATCAGTTTTGAAAGAGGTAAAGGGGAAGGCCAAGAAAAGTCTCTGTGGAAAACAAAGGAACAGCAGAGTCACAAGGAGAAGCTGAGGCTGGCAGCTGCTTCTGGAAGGCAAGGTTGTAGTAACATATAGGCACCAGGTCACCTATACATCACCAAAACCACCTCAGGGTGCCCCAGGGTCTCGGGGGGGTTGTAGGGAGCTCTCTACTCAGACACACGTGTTGGGTGCATGTCGGAGGAGCCCATGGTGGTGCAGCCCACCACCTGATTCAGAGCAACATCTCTTCAGCACTGGAGAGCATTTGGAGCAGTTTCCTTCTTTGCATCCTCCACAAGGCATCCTGTTCGGTTTGCAGGGTGGTTCTGCTGCACACAGTCAGGGGATTTGCTTCCAAATCGAAACGCGATGAGTCCCAGCTTGTAGCACCACAGCTAAACCTTACTTAAGAGCTTTTGCTTGTAAGCTGAGACTGAATGAAACGGAGCCAATGCTAGTGAAGTGCAATGCTTCTATTAGGAACTTGGGGCAGATTTGGGTGCACATACAATCAATGCCTCCCTTTTCATTTCACTGCTCATTATGGAGTCATCACTCCAATTATGGCCAAATTATGCCTTGGCCAAAAGGAGGAGAACTAAAAACACACCTTTTTGTTAAAGCAGTTAATAAAGGCTGATCACATTATTAAAAGAGAAGTTCAGCAGTATGCTTTCTAAAAACTCTATCAATTTAGCATATCTCCAAGGTGATTTAAATGCACCAGACTCAGGAAATATTAAGGGCACATACTCACCTCAGTATCTGACAGCATCTGGACTGAGATGCTTGAAACCAGAATCTTGTTCTTTCCGCTCTGCCAGAAATTCTGTTTTCTTCTCTCCTCTCTGACATAGCATCTGATCAGCATAAGGCAATTTGAGCTCAGACGGACACACAGCGCAGTGTGTGTCTGAGATATTTCCTCAGTGTTACACTTAGGAAAGACCATTTTCAAAGCACGTGTAACAGGGACAGCTGCAGAGGCCTACTGCAAACGTTCATCCCTCTCTTCCCCCCCAGAGAGAGTGGCTCATCGCAACCCTCACTGCTGCCGTGGGACTTTTCTTCGGCTCCACGCGAACTCTCTCTAAGCAGTAAGGATAGGAAGCACCCACTGAAGCACTGCCAGATTCTGTTCTGTTCTGTGTATTTCTTCTGTGAACTCTGAAATCTCCAAATTAATGTAAGTCTCCTCTTTTTAACCCAACAGCACTCCCAATGATACCTGTTGGCATTACAACCCACTGCTCTATTGCCTCTTTGTACCAGAAAGGAAGTACAGTGCATACAACTAGGCACTACAATTGTTGTGTCTCCACAGATTTGACTTAATACTTTCAACGTAACCCATTTTAGATTTAAAAAGTTCAGCCAGCGATAAAGACATCTTCAAGAACATGCAGCCAGGAAACAGTAAACACAGAAGAAGAAGGTTTCCATCTCTTAACTCTCACAAACATAACTTGCTATTGAGAGACTCATTTCAGGCCTTAACACTATTCTAAATCTAGAATCAACAACAAACACATGCTCTAACAGAAAGTATGCCCTTTTTTATATGTGATTTTTTAGAAAGCTTTATCTAAATTAGTTCTGGCAGAGTAGAAAAATACTTGAATAAATGTGAGACAGCAAAAAGTATGAGACACTCCAAACATGCAAAAAAAGACCTGAATGAGGACAAAAAATAAATCCATCTCATCTGGCTGCCCAGAGCCACCTTCCCTTCCTTCTCCACAAAGAAGGGGAAACAGTGCAATTTCACAGCCTCTCCCAAAATGAAATAATGTATTTGGGCTCCAACAGGTAGAAACTCCTCACAACGTCAAACATTTTTCACATAAGGTAACAATAAACCTTTATTTACAGATTTAAACACGAGCACACACATACACAGGGAAAATCAAAGAACAAAACTAAAAAATAAGCAAGTAAGGAAAGAATTAGAAGTCTGGTAAACAAAATACACCCACCAGCAATGCACTGACTGCCAGACATCTCTGTTGTGACTAGAAGTAACTGAAGGGAAGAGATAGAGAAGAAGAAAACTAAAGAAAAAAAGAATTGTGTGCACAAATATACACATAGATATATACAAGATTTCATCTGAGGTGGGCAGCCAGGAGGAAGTTTAAAGTCGCTTCCACACTCACACTCACCCAGGGCCACGCAGTGCTTATGCCCGCACCAGGAACATACATCGGGAACACGCATCGTCAGGAGGGAGCTGAAAGTTCAAGCAAAGCTGAACCTCAGACTACAGCCCTGTCCCCAGACAGGACCTTCTCTTTTTCTGCAAAAAGAGGCAGCAGAACTACCTACAGCTAGGAACTATTTTTATTTTTCAAAATAACTTTTGCTGAAAATTTCTACAGGACAAAACAGCTTCTGAAGAGCTGCGACCACCCAGTCTTTTGGGAAACACTAGTGAAGGGTTATAATTCAGGCTTGATTCTGGGCTTTGTAGCAAAGTTTGATGAGAGCACCCACTAAAGGAAAGTAACAACCCTGGAAATGCACGCCTAGCATAGGGTAATCCAGGCAGCCACAGAAACGGAAAAGTCTGGCTTACCCTAATTCTATAACTCAGGTCTCCAGAAGTAAAAGCACTGTACACTTAGTCATTGTAGATTACATTCATTTTTTACAACACTATGTTTCATTAGAATTAGGAAAGTATTTATAAAGGAGGATCACAAACAAGATGGTAACTCAATTCATGGCAAGTGTTACCCTGGGAAACTATCGGAGAAGATTCACATAATGTCTGCCTGTAGCATTAAGTCAAATTCTTTTTGATGCTATTTAATATCACTTTTTCCTACAGAATTAATTAATACAAGACATTCTAGTAAGATCTCAGGGCTTCTCAACAACAAAGGATCAGAAACACTTCTTGGGACTAACGGGATTTATGTAAGAGAACAGATAAAAGCAGAGTCAAGTCTTTTTGCAGCTGCCTTTCAGGTCAGTGCTTCTGGATTACAACAGAAAAATGCAGGTTTCTAAGACTTGCTGTCAGCACAAGCTTTACCTGCACAACCACACTGGTGGGGCTTGCTCACCATCCCGAGTGGCTACCAGCAGCAGCCTGAGCAGCAGGGGGAACCCATGCCAGCCTCAACCCTCGCAGACACCTGCGTGATGGTTCAGCTTAGACACCTGTGCTCTGCAGAGCAGCCTGAGAATAAACACAGTACTGGCAGGAAACATGTGTCTATAAATATTTTATACAGGCTGGAGTCTTCCACAAAATGATGGTAAAGCGAGAAACAACTCCTCGTCCCTGGACAATGTCGGGAGCTCTGTAAATGACCTTCACTGGAGCAGGAGACCAGTTCTTATAGCTGAACACCAAACACGTCTTTTTTTTCCTCCATTCTATTTCCTTGCCTTAAATAAAAGCCAGAACATCGGAGGCCAAAAGCAACTAACAAACAGGCAAAAAATATTTCTTGCCCCAAAAAGGCACCTTTGGACACCCCGCAAGCTCACCAGGAAGCAGGTCACCCACCCCAGGACAAATGGGATGTCCAGAGGGAGCCAGCCTGCAGCAGCAGGTCCCTGCTCCCTGTGGTGGGGCCAGCAAAGATAATCTCCAACAGATTTTTAAACAAAGAAGTCTATGTTGTTAATCACTAAATTCGAGTTTCAAGGCTGTTACTAACCGCTGCGCTTCCATTAAGGTCTTGACAAACACCTCTAATTATCTTTAAGGTAACAAAGCTTTGCAACAGAGGCTTCCCTGGCTGCATTTTGTTCCACCTGGAAAATTTAACGGGATAAAAACCAAAAAGAATTGGCCACTGGCCCAGGATCCCCAGGCCTTCCCCATGACTAAGCTCCCCGTGCCACTGTGTCCCAGCCGAAACAGCCGGGGCTCGCAGCCAGGGTCGGTGCACAGGACGGTTTCCCACCGAGGCCTACAGCAAGGGCGAAGGGAGAACCACCTCGCAGAGGGAAGCAGTGCCAGCCATGTCTCCCCTCTTCCACAGCCGCGCTTCACAGACCCCGGTGTCCCCTAATCCCCCGCCCCAGGTGTCTCTCTAGGGAGGCAGGAAAAGCTCCACAGGCCGAGTGGAGCCGAGCAGCCGGCGGGGACCGGGAAACCGCGGCCGGCGGGGGCACAGGGAGGTGCCCCGGGGGGAGGGACGCCCACGGCCTGCCCCGCCGCCGTCACCACCCCGCCCGGCCCGCGGCCTCCGGCCCTCCCGGGCTTTCAGAAGGACCCCGTCAGGAGAGGCAGCGGGGAGGGAAGACCAAGGAGTGCCCGGCCCCGCCACTCCCCGGACTCACGCTTGTACTCGGCCATCAGCCGCTTTAGCGCCGTCCCCGCCATGGCGCGGCCCCGCCGCTCCCGCCGTCGCTTCCGGGGCGGGCGACTAGAGAGGACGGCTAGAGCGGCCGGCCGCCTGCCCCTCCGCCTCTATGATACGCGCCCAGTCCTCCCAGTGCCGGGGCCGCGCATGCGCAGAGCGGGCGCCCGCCCTGCGCTGCGCCGAGCACCCCCCGGGCAGAAGAAAACCCCTCAGGTGAGAGGCACGTCAGGGCTGCACGGAAACAGGCGGGCCCGGCGGCGACCCTTCAGGTACCAGGCTGCAGAGACGGAGGGAGAAACGACAGCTGCTCGCCGGGGAGGGGAGGAGAGAGAAAAGAAGGCGGAAAGTCGTATTGTGCGGCGAAATGCCCCAGGGAGGGTGGGTTTTGCTGCTAAGGGAGGCACCGGTGCAGCGGAGACCCCCTGGGACTTACACTTCTGCTGCCGCCTCAGAAGCCTCCAAGGTGGAGGTCTGAAGCACCGCCGCCACGTACTGCTCCCCAGCTGGAAGGGAAAGAACCAGCCGAGGGGAGCACGGCCGTATCGAGCGGAAGGCATGAGACAGAGTACCAAACTATATTTACTGTATACAATAGTAAAGGACAACAAATAAATGTACAAATTGGTGAATAAACAGCAAGATCTACGGGATGTCCCACCCCAGCCCATTTACAAGAAAACGAAAAAGAAAATAAGGGCCTTTCCAGCAAGATTTCCAGCAAGCGAGAGATGATCTAACACTGCCAAAGGGGTCAGGTAAATATAAAAGGCAGGTAAGGATCCCACGGGCCAGCAGCACACAACCTACCGAGGGACAACAGGACAGCCTCAGTAAAAATTCATCTGGAACGGGCTCCACATGAAGCCCATCACACAAATGCATTTAAAATTCATTAAGTTTGGGGAGGCAGTAGATTTTTTTTTTTTTTTAAGCACACAGACACGCACACACCTCTCTTCTTTTGCTCACCAGGTTCTTGACAGCTCTCCTGCACATAGAGCTTGGTGACATTAAAAGGCGCTTTTTTCCCTTCATTTATCAAGTTAATCTACCAAAAACAAATATTAAAAAGAAACCTGAGGCTGCAGACTTCTAGTACCCACTGAGAAATAAAGAGACATACTAAAGAGAGTAGAGGAAAGGTGACAGATTCTGCCCGGCACTCAGCGAACAACAGCTGATGGTGCAGTGATGGGTTTCTGTTTTTATAAGCTTGCACAGCAAAAAAAATGCTGCTGCTCTATCACGAGTGTTGAGTGTTCGTTTTTGGACCAGCTGCTCTGCTAACTCCAGTTCTGACAATAATTCAGGACAAATCTCATTTCTGCATTAAAAAAGTATATTTCAGACGACTTTATCATAATATGACAAAGCACATGTAAATCTGCAATATTTTAAACTCCAACTCTATACTAAGCATCGTATCTGCATGTACCAGCCTCGTGTCACAGGCTTAACGCTTCTGAAGTAACTGTGTTTGCAACACGCACTAAAAACTTAAAATCAGCGTCTCTTTTCCTTCTCTTAGGCGTATCTTAAAAGGAAACTTTTACGCTCACAATTGGCATGAAAATATACTGAATTATTTACATGATTAGAATTAAACAGAGGGGCAAGACCAACAAGAACCAGGAATGAACACTCCATGTCCTAATACATGGATGAATATTTAGGCCACAGGTTTAAAGAAAAAAAAAAGGGAAAAAAAAGGTAACAGCAGAGAGACAACGCATATTACTTAATCTGAACTTAAATCAAATTGGCCCAATTTAAGATATAGATTAATCCCTGCAGATACTGTTTTGACTTGCACACGCAGTACGTCAAAGACAACAAGCAATTTTGGTAAATGTCCTCTAAAGTTTAGAAGAATTCCGTGTGATTGGCATGTTCATTTGTTTACTGTTTAATAGCAAATCCAAGGACAGATGAGAGAGTGAGGTGTGATGAGGATCCTTGAACTCCTCTTCTCAAAAGGACGGCACGTCTTAACAAGCTCCACCTGTCTGCTGTTGGAACACATCGATAGTGTCTTCATCTTCCATCTCCAGCTGTTAGTGTAATACAGAAAATACAACACTTGAAATACAGACAGTTACAAAAGCACTTAGCTCTCTATTCCTAAACCGTACCAGTAACAGAACACTTAAGGTGTAACTTTAATTAATTAATGCATGAAACACTTTCCATAGAGCACTCCATCGCCCTTCCCATTGGAGGATCGCCAACACCAAAATGGGTTTCAGAGGCACGCTGGTCAGTCAGACTGAACTGGGCAGTTTAGCGTCTTCTACAACAAATCACCCAGCCGAACATCTCTGCTCCTTGCCTCCGGCCTTGCCAGCCCAAGAAATCCCCCATGTTCTCAGCACTGCTAGAGTCAATGGCGGCTACAGCTTCAGTGCTGGCTCAGAACAGGTCGACACAGAAATAGGACAGAGCCCAAAGTGCCGGCACTTGCCAGGGGTCCTTTCCACACCAGCACTCTGGTGTCAGCTTGTTCAGCACCAATGCTCCTATGCATTTTCTTCCCCACCCACCAACAGTGAAAACATACAAGGGAAAAACAAAAAAAATCCCACCCTAGACAAATTATTTGGAACATACTAAACTTAGAGCAACTACTTCAGGATCATTTTGATTTCAAACCCCTTTGATCTGCATGCAGACATCAAAATATCTGTATGGCAATTTGCAGTAAAAGTGTTTTTCATACCTGTGCAGGTGTGTCTGTTTCACTAATCGGTTGTCCGTCAAATCTGAATCTAATCTGCCTCATTGACAAGCCCTGCAAGTTGAAAATAATTAATATATGAGAAACCACGCTTTTGTTTCTGAATCCAAACAAAACATTTATGGTTTTACTGTCAGAACAAATATTAACAAAATTAAGACTCAAAAGATTTAACGAGACAGGAAACTTGGTGCATCTATCTTGCTACATAAATTGAGGAAACGGAACTGTTTGAGTGACATCCCGCTGCACTGCTGTCACAGCAAGGACTCTATATGGAACCACAGGTGTGGGTTTGGCCCCTGGGTCTGATCCTGCTCTGCAAGGCACAAGTATCAAAAGCTAATTTACAAAGGTAATTTAAGAAGCAATCAATCAATACACCATTCTATAAAGCCTCAGAGGACATGTCAGGAAGGAGCAGGAATTGTTTCTCATGCAGTCAGAGAATTAACAGTTGACTCAAAGGACAACATTTTAAAAAAATCTGAAAACACCCTACTTTTTAGTGTAACTAGCTATCAGCACTGACTACCCCTAGTTAAGACAAGTTTTCACTCCCGCCAGCCTTCTGCTCCCAGTTCTAGGTCTTTATCTTCTGATGAAAAAAGGAACCATGAAGACTGAGGAAAAAAGAACCTGCAGAACTTGATGCAGATTTTTTACCTGCAAGGTTTATTAGAAAAACACTAGGGTCTAACGTCAGAAAGTTAATGTTGCCCTTAAAACCCAAACTGAATTCATGACCGAATCCTGTTTTGACAGTGTTTAATCACACAAGGCGGTCTTTATTCCCTGCCCCAGGGATCGAGGTCTTTGCTTTGCTCTCCAAAATCCTTCAAAACCCCCGTGCGATTCACACTTCCAGTCATACACAGAGCCACAGGAACACCAAAACTCCCCGCACCTCTCTAAAGAGGTCTCTGGATGAAGGGAAATGCCGGCAAACAAAATCTGACTCCACTTCTGAAAGCCATTCACATCCCCACCCTCCGCTCTGCGCCACCTAATAGAGCGTAGAAGCACAGGCACCAAGGGCTACAGACTCGGGAACCGGGATGTGAGGATAAATCCCTCTCCCATCTAGCTCAGGGTGGCACCGAGAAACGGCCTCTGACATAGAGCAGCTGGCTGCCACCTGCAGAACACAGCAGTCCAAACTCTGCAGTGGGTGAGGGGAGAGACACATGAAGGGAGGAGAGAAAAAAAACACCCAAACCAACCCATGATGTAATTCATGGCATAGGAGTATTTGTTTTCTGCTGTTTTCCAAATGGCAAACACGGTCTATATAAAGTTAACAAAAGTTTTTTGAGATGATAGAACTGAGGGGTTGTGAGGCTAAAAATTCAGAGCAAATGGGTCTCGGAGCCAGAATCGCAACTCGAAAAATTTTGCTAACCCCGTCACAGGACACGCGTTTAGAGCTCTAGGAGCACCTGATGAGCAAGAGGCAGTTTTCATTAACTGAAGAGAAGAACTCCAGCGCTTCAGAGTCGGCAGTAGCCCAACTCCTCGCCCTCCCAGGCGCCTACAGGGCTATATGCACCCCGACGCCCTAGTACTCGTAACCTTCCAGCCGAGTTCCCGCCGTCCCGAGGACTCTTCCCCAGGGAGAGCGGCGGGGGCGGCCGGGCGGGGGGGGGCCGGGCCTACCTGCCGCTCGCAGTACGCCTTCATCAGCTTGCTCAGCGGGGTGTGCCGCTTGATTTTGAACTGCACCACGGAGCCGTCCTGCCCCGCCACTTTCAGGTTGATGTGATCGTTCTCCGTTTTCACGCCTTCCTGGATGAAAAGCGGGAGGAAGATGCCGATTCAGAGCCCCGGCCAGGCTCGACGTCCGTCCTCCCCGCTCCCAGGGCGAGCTGCCGGTCCCGCCGCCGCGCCGCCACCCTCGAGGCGGGAGGAGAGGTCGTGGTGGGGCCGGCCGCCACCCGCTGCGGCCTGCGGAGGCTGGGCGGCCTCCCTCGGGGCGGCGGGGGCCCGGG